TATTTTAATTATATATTATATGATAATTTTTAACGATATTTATAAATGTAAATTATTCTAACAAACATTTTAACAATATTTCCTCTTTTAAAAAATAAGCTAATGAAGGCATAAATCTTAAATCCTAAAAAATTAGATACTATAATGTCTTATGTTAATTTTTTTTAAATATAAAAAAGTCCTAATTTCACAATATAAAAATAAAAATAAAAATTCATAGTAAAAAAAATAAAATAATTGTTGAGTCATAAAAGGATGAGGAATAAGAGTAACAAACTTAAGGAAAAAAGAGAGATCGCAGTTTTTATGCTAAGAGGGTTCTTCCCCCAACTAAGATCTATTTTCATCTTATTCTACTCACAAAAACCCTAACAAATTCATCTTATATATATATATATATTATAGAGATTATGATATCAATTTCATCTTTCACCTTTTTCTTTTCTTGACGTGTGTTATAAAAAAATTGTCACTTAAAAGTTAAAATTTCAAGCATTTTTTTGTGTTATATAAAAGAACAAATTCAACTACATAGTAAAGAAGTCAATTAAAGAGAACAAACAGAAAAATAAAGCAAGTCAATGACACTATCATTTACATATCTGAGTTTCACAAAATAGGAGAATAGGATGAGAACAGTACTATAATATTATATATAAGCAATGAACAATAATACAGTATTATTAGCAGATAAAAAATAGAGAAGACAGGAGCATAGAAAAAAAAAGATGAAAAACTCACTTGAAAATTCTTGAAAAGTCACTTCAAACAATCCTTTAAAATCCAATGGGTTTGGATGAGATTGTTTTATGAATTTGGTATTTATAGATAACACTAGAAAGTCCTTCAAAATCTCTCACACACAACAATCCTTTAAAATCCTTATATTTTTTAATACCAATGGATTGTTTTTAAGTTGTAAAAAATCTCAAATGAATACCAATGAATTTTAATAGACTCTTTAAAAAATCTTGAAAATCCAGATTGAATACCACTTGATTGTTTTTAAGTGACATAAAATCCTGATTGAATACCAATAAACTTTTTTACTCAAAAAAAAGTCTTTTTTACTCAAAAAAAAGTCTTTTTTACTTGAAAGCATTGTATCAGAAGAGTTACACCACGCTGAAGAGCAAAGACTAAGTTTTGAATGATGCTTACTACATGACTAATGAATATCATATCATTGTCAAAGTATAATTTTTTATTAAAAAAAATTACAAATTTACAATGAGAACTTGTTACTCGCGCTAATCTTGGGGAATGGTTGATCAATCCTGTAAAGGTTGATCATTGCTTAATCCTGTAAGGACTGGAGAAATGTTAACGAATATCTAAAGAATTTTCAAAATGCTCGTTCGCAACAAAATTTTAAAAGAATCTCAGGCAGGTAAAACATATGTCTTCAAGGTAATATATTTTCTTCAAATATAAAGAATAAATTTTATTAGAGAAAGAAAAATATATAACTACAAAAGATTAGAGAATAAGAAGCCCTCAACAAAGACAATACAAAAAAGGAAAATAAAAATAGAGACAAATAACAAGAGTTACAGACCATGTACAACAACTAACATTTCCATTTTTATCTAAAACCTTCATTATATCACTCCCCGTGACAAAGCCAGCCACAACTTTATGTCAATTATATGCCTACGGCAAGGAAATTACTGGACAGTGCTACCTGCATAAAAGTAAAGAATGGCTTATGTAAAAAATGCTACAGGCCCTAACAAAGAAATGACACAAAACATCACAGAGGGAAATTACCTTGTAGCACAGTTTAAATAGAGGTAGACCCTTGTAACAGCAGAATGAAATCTTCACAAAGAGCATATCACAAAATATGCAGAGAATTGTACGTTCTCATTGTACAAGTCACGCTGATCGCAATTCAAACCAATCTTAAATATTATTGTTCCATCATTGTTGATTAAAATTAATTATTATCGCAGCTTTCAATATAAATAATACTGAAGCGACTACATTTTTTAACTGCAATATATGAAGTTCTAATACAGTTTCAGGCATTTAACACAACAGCCGGATTTAGAAGAAAACTTTTTGTACTTGGTGGGTTTGGTTTCATGTATAAAAAGAAACTCATTTTAGAATTGCAAATTCAGCCAAGCTTCAAGAGCTAGACTGAGGAAAATAACAGTAGTAGAAAATTTATTGAGCTATATGTTAAAAAAAGGAAAGCCTTTATGATGCATCACCAACTCTTAGCTTTGGATTTGTTAAAATACTCCTAAAAGTGTAGAAGCTTGGTAAAAGACTTTTTTAAAAAAAAAACAAGTAGAATATTAGTAAACATGCTTGCAAACTACACTCCTATTGTTAGAATGAGTATTCTAGCAAGCTACAACTTGAATTTGTTAAAATATGGCCAAAGGTGTTGCTTACTAATCAACTCCTTCCAAAAAAACAAATGGAAGTATATTATTAGCCCTCCAAGGCTCCAACTGCTAATATACTCTCACTTGTTTTTTAAAGGACTATGATAGATCCAAAAGTGTAGTTTGCAAGCATACTACACATAAAAAATCAAGTTGGAGTAAATTAGTAGTCCCCTATATGTATATGGGGACTTATCAAGTGAGAATTGTTCTCAGTTGTTATCATGAGAAAAACAAATTTTAATGATACAATTATACATAGATGGCAAAGATTAACTTGTCTCATGAGAACAGTTCTTACCGGATAATGATATGCCCTTAAAATGCACAGAAGCAAAAATGAATCATGAAGGGCACAACCACAGTCCACATATAACATAAACAAACTATGTATTGCACAAGAAAAAGAGGGAAAAAAAAGGACATACATTGTGGCAAGCTGATCGAGTATTATTCATCTTTCTGCAGTCATCAATACAGGTGAAACGACAGCTCTTATGACAGATACAAAGCTTCTAAATAATCATCAATGTAAGCTAAGCTGGGCCAGTGGTCTGTACGAATGCGAACTAAAGTTGAAACATCACCAACTTCCATTTGGAAAAGGAGATGGAACCGTGGAGGAAGAAATATTAAAACATGCAAACAACCCAGGTTTCTTTTTCTGCTATTGCTAATAGCCCCCTTCTCATACCCTTCATCATTGTAAGTAAGACAGAGTGGAGCTGTATCGTGATTAGTAGCAGAAGTAGCATCAGGAGAAGCATCTTCCAAAATGACGTTCTGAATGATTCCCCCTTCCCATATGGCATCAATAAGTGGCTCCCCACTCACACCTACAACAAAGCGTGCCAGATGGCGCTCAGTTGCCTGGATCAAAGAGGTTGCAGGTACATCAAGAAGCTTGACAGATTGAGTTCCACTAATGGCAGCAATCCCTTTGCCCCCTTTCAATTGAAAGGTCTCCCGGCCAGTGCTGGAGGATGAGCCACATGCCTCCCATAAAGTATTGAACAAGTCAAAGTTGTATCGAGGTATTTCATCTTCTGGGATGTCTGACGGGACAATAGCCTTGAGAAACATGTCTTCTATGCCTACTGTAATTCCTTGAAGTTGACCTTGGATGATTTGACCATTTTCTGCATTTGTTTCAATGTGAACATCAACTATACCTGGTGTGGGTTCTCTGGGCTCCAAATCAATCACAACAGTAGCTCTATATTTTTCCTCTTCCCTGGAATCATTTTCAACACCGACAGGAACAATACTTAGGGAGGCATTTTGAGATGCAGGATCTTTATTGTGAGGTTCACCGAGAAGAAAAGGTATACGATAAGATGGAATTGACCCATATGGTGCAGATGACGAAAATTTTAACACAGTAGCATATATAGCAGGAAGTGCATCAATCTCTTCCAAGGATGTGGCAGTTTTATCTATTCCCAACATGCGATTGAAACTACTAGATTCAAACCTCAAACTGCATGATATTCTAACTTTTAGACCTGGCATATATCTGAAGTCCGGAACACAGGAAAAGTACTTCCTTAATGTGTTCAAAATTTCTGCAACTTTAGAATCCATAACACGGAGTGGCTCTTGTGGTTGATTTATTCTTCCAGTTTCAGGGATGATCTGTGCATCGGAACTGTCAGACAATTCCTTTTCCTCAACAGGGGGGTCAAGATCTCTGATGCCCTCCAGATAAGCAGGTTTACTGTTACTTCGAACTAAATTTGACAATGACATAGACCAAAATTGTTTGACTAGCAATGGGACAAAACGCTCAAGGTGAATACAGGATGATAAGTTTTTAAATGTCTTGAATTTCTGAGAAGGTCTAGGTGACTGAACGTTGAAAAATGAGGTTGGGTGTGAAGATGGTGAAATTCCAAGAATCATATCTCCCAGGTTCAGAATGTCTCTAAGCTTCTTCCCTGGAATGCAGACCAGCATTCGCAAGTAGATCCTGCAAAATACCATATATCAGCACAGACAGGTGATTGCCTTTGCAGGCCCTCTGAACCTTCCTTAGCTATCTTTAATTTCAAGAAATAATTCATAAGCCACAGGTGAAGGAGAAAACTGGGAAATAGATTAGGTCAAGAGCAGCAATTGATAATGTAATACCTTGAATTATCACGAACCTCCAAATCAGGAAAATAGAGACATGTGAAAGCAAGTAGATGAGATAGTCTAAGGAACAATCTAGAGCTATGATGGTGCATCAACATAGTTCGGCAAATCCCAAGAGCTCTACTTCCCTGGGACCAAGATTTCATCCCTGTATCTGGGCCATGTTTCTCCACAAGGAAAATCATGAAGTTGGTGAGCAGCTCTAACAATCCACGAGGAGGTATTGTCTGATTTTCAGCAATTCTATCAAATATTGGGAAGCAATAAACCAACTTATAATCCATTCTCACTTTTGGAAGCAAGTGCTCATCAAATTTCTGAAGTAAGCACTCACCCAACCAAGAATGCTTTTGACAGGAGAGCAAACGGTCAACAAAAGCAACGACAACAGGAACCAATCTCCTACTCTCCAACATCAAGTTCACAAGCAAACCCTATAAAACAAAACAAAGAAACTTGAATACATCATGCCAAAACACACAACACTGATGACAGACATGAGCTCTGATCAGCTATTAACCATGGAGTCTGAACTCTTCACACACTAACATACTACGGAACAAAATCCTTTAATTAGAATGCAACATGTAAAATAGAAACACTATTAAGCACCTGCAAAGTGCGAAATATCATGGAGTCCAACAGATTCCTTGTGGTGGAAGGATCATCATCGGAATGAGAGGACGAAGCGATCAAAAACTTATGAAAGGTGCGAAACGCAACTGCGGTCTCTGTGCTCCCGGGAGGCAACCATTTGAAGGAAGAGACACAAACAAGACCATCTTCAAACAGCTTCACCGGATCAACCAACTCATCAGAATCACCTTTCAGCCTCAAGACACAAGAGCAAAACACAAGAAGGTCAAGCTTCAAGGCTTTCAAAGCCAGAGGATCAAACAGAGCCGGGTAAAAGGTGGAGCACAATACAAGAGAGGGCTTCGCCTTCTCGAAAACCAATCGATTGAAACCCAACAACCAGTGCATAGCCAACAAGCGAAACACCAAATAATGCTGAGCCTCTCTCGAAATCAACAAAAGCCTGCGAGAAACCTCTCCCTCTTGACCATCAAACGCATCCGAGAAACGCAAATACATGCTCAAAACGACATGGCACAGAATAGGATCATACGAATGAATCATCCCGAAGAACTGCACCTTCAGCATGGAAGGTTGCAGTTCCAACGCCACAGCCACGGGAATTATCATAGACACAAACTCCATCATCCCGCAAGGAGTCATCACTTGCGGCCACTCCAGCAAAAACGCCATCGCCCTCCTTAACTCCTTCACATTCAAACCCGAACCTAAATCCGAGCCTGAACCCGAACCCGAACCCGAATCCGTCACGCACTGCGGCGCATTGAAAGGAACAATCGGAACGGAAGTGTTGAGAATGGAGACGCTGAGTTTCCGAGCGACGATGCTGTGAATCACCGAAGTGAAGAGCAACAGATAGCACTGAGAAGCGTGAGTTCGCTCGTTCTGGCAGAGACTCCACAAGTGTCCAACCACATCGGAAAGCAAACCAGGTTTCCACCGCTCCAATTCCCTCAGGCATTCGCACGCGATGCCACGTGTGTGCCGGTCCGAACCGTAATTCGGTCGGTTTATAACCGTCAGCAACAACTCCACCAGAATATTCTCCGTCTGCGCCTCGACCGCGATCTCCTCCGACGCGCAGATGAGAATCGAGGTGGCGGAAACCATGAACTGGTCTTTGAAGGTGGAAGCGGCGACATCGGGAGGCGCGTGGACGACGGTTCTGAGCGCGTCAACGAGACGGTGGAGTTGGTGGTGGTTGGAGAAGAAGGAGAGGGAGAATTCGTCGAGGAATATGAGAAGCTGGAGCTTGAGGGAGAGAGGGAAGTCCTTGCGGAGAAGAGAGGGGAGAAGGAGATCGAAGAGAGGATCCAGTGAGTTCCACTTGAGGTGGACGCCGTTCTGGAAGTCATCGATTAGGGTTTCCCACTCCTGAACTGTCAGAGGCTTCGACGGTGGTGGCGCCGCCGCTTTCTCCGCCATGCCGTTCACGCTTCGGCGTTGCTGCTCTTCGCTTACATCAAGATACTCGCACACACGCGCACACAACACGTGTTTCACTCACCCACACCGGGCCGGGTTCGTTTTGGGTCGGACTATGTTTCCAGCGGCCCAGCCCATTCTCTGTTGGTTTGGATCGCCAAGTCCAACCCATCCATAAAATTCTCAAATTCACGCAACACAACACTCTTCCTTTTTTGCCAATACTCTTTCTCAGTTCGATCGTCTTGAATCGTTACCACTTTTCAGGTGTGTTCTGCTACTCAGATTTGTCTATAAGCTAGAAATTAGGTTTATATGTTATATGGTATGGAGATTTAGTTCAACTGCATCATGTTTTATTTCTAGAAGGTAAAATAATATTCTGAATACTATTTGAAGTTTTATGCCGTAGACTTCAATTATATATATATATATTTATTATTTATTTATTTATTTTCATGATATGTTTTAAGGAACAGTGAGACAGAGAAATTAGGAGACAAGAATATTTCAACCTGCTAGTTGGTTGCATTATGTTAGTTGTTTTTTCAAAATGTGTAGGCAGTGTTATTTGGTAATAAACGATAGACATTTTAGTATTTTAGTTATGTCTTGGTCCAGGAGAATATGTATTGTTGGATTTGAATGCATTTGCTTAAATTAAGATTTAAGAGACAATGAGACAAGTGGTCCCTTAATTGTATTTGGAAAGCTTGAGAGCAGATAGATACATGGAAGAATATAACAAGAGCAGCATGAAGAAGGCAAGGTTGAACTCTTTGCTGACAACCTTGCTAGATGATCCTGTACTTTCTGATGTCCCCATGAACCCAACTTTGGCAGATGTTGACACTCTCATCAGCTTTGAACTGGGTAGTGCGATGCGCATTTCTGTCTTGAAATTGGATGGAAGTACATTTGGTAATACTCACATTCCCAACATCTTTTGGAAATTTAAAATTTAAAGCTCTGATTCACTTGTTATTTTGGTGGTGTTAGATGTGACGGTAATGAATTCAGCAACAGTCAAGGATTTGAAACTTGCCATTGAGAAGAAGGTAAATGACATGGAACAATCCAGCATGGGTTACCGCCATATTTCTTGGTGAGTTACAGATTTCTTCTTCTCTTTAGTTAGTGGAATTTGCTAAGAATGGTATAATATTTAATTTAACATTAGTTCATCTCTGGAAATCCTGATTTTGTGCAACTCTATATTGCAAAAACTTTATGCAATTGCAGGAAACACGTATGGGCAAACTATTGCTTGTCATGCCACAACAACAACCTCCTCGGTGATAATGAGGCACTTCAAAATTTTGGTGTGCGAAATCATTCTCAGGTTTGCCCATTGTGTTCAGTGTTCAAATGGATTTTTTTTTCTCTTCTTGCTAATTTATTTTTCCCTATGTTATTCTCCTTTTCCAATATTGGAATTTTAAATATCACACCCTTCAAAGATTCGTTCTTCCTATGGCATGGATTTGTTGAACAAATCAGTACTTTTTTGTTCTTTTGTAGTGCCAAGAAATTCCTATATTTTGTTCTTTTTGCTTAAAAATATTTCTATCGTAAATTCTTTAGTTTTTCTTACCTTGTCGGCATATTGAATGATATCTAAAAGAGTGTAATTGAATGGTATTTTATGCCATAAAGGTTGAATTTGTCCACTACGTGTCGACAAAAGAGTCTGGGAGGCACTCGAAGAGGAGAAAGCACCGTTTTTTTCATGGCCTTAACAAGCGTTCCTGATCAAACGAGCCAATGGTGTATAGCATGTTCTGTAAGACTGAAATTTCTGTTGGTTTAGAACAGTAGCTACCTTGTGGAGGCCACTATACACATTATTTTGTTTTATTTTTAAGCAATTACTAAAATATTATAAAGGTAATCGAATGGTTGAACTGATATAAAATAAGAAAATTTAGTTTTATATTTTAACCGCAGCCAAAGGATATGATAAACTTCATACATTGCAAGGACAGACCAGGATGATTGCTAAAAGGATAGTGGGGTTTGTGCACTGCTTATAAACGTAAATTGGTTCTTTTCTAAAGAGGCCTTTGGAATTATTTTTTCAAAAGAAACAACACAATGAACATAATCATCATCATAAGGGTCAATTAGCAAATTGACATATCAATAAATGGACACCATACAATTTCCAAAGCTAAACACCATAGAGGTAGCAAAATACACTTAACTACTAACTAGTGACTGATAAACGAAACCGTGACTTTTTATGATAACAATTAACAAGATGTAAATTCAAACAGATTTTGTTGCAATTGATATCCCACCACAGGAGCAAGCAACTCTGAAAACATAAACACAAAGTACAATGTTGGACAATCTCTCGCACTAGTTTTAGTTTAGCAGGTTCCACCACCACTGCCACCGTCCTCCCTCCACCACCACATCCACCTCCCTCTACCGTCACCTCCACCATACCATCCTCCACCGCCACCACCTACACCGTACCAGTCCCCACCATACCATCCTCCACTGCCACTGCCTGACCACCAAGTCTGCCACTGCCACTGTTTTCCTCCGTCATTACTACTGCTGTTGTTGTTGATGCTTCCACAGATTTTATTGGGTTTTTTGGATGGATCATCAGATAGGATTTGTGACTGACCTTCGCCCTTCTTCATCTTCGATTCTTGTCTAAGCACAAGGAGAATGAAGGTGTCTTTATATAAGTTGAACAATCCACGTAGCATCATCTGTAAAGTAAAAAGACAATGCAATATTAAGAAGAAAATAAAAAGCATAATGCAAAGAGAATGAGAAAGTGGTGCATAATGCATGGAGCGGAATGCATAACGTCTACTTCTCTAACAATGGACAATTTTTTTTCTTTTACCTTTAGTATCATTATATAACTTTTATCATGAATATAAAATATAATTGAAATATTTAAAATATATATTTATTACAAATTCAAAAGCAAAAAGTTAAAAAGACAACATTCTTCACTAGTGTGACAGTGTCTAATGCTAACAAACCTCACACAGTCTCTCACACCATTTGATTTGATTCGATTTTCAGTACGCACCCCTTCATGTATCTTTTTACCAACTCCATTCCTAAAAAAAGAAAAAAGATCACGTACACTCAAAATCCCTTTCATAGCACTCTGAAAAACCCACACGAAAAATGCACACAACATTCTCTTTCTCTCACCATTGGGTTAGGCTCACCTGCACGCACTCAATTCTCTTTCTCAACTACGTAACATTTAAACAATTTTTCACACACTTTCATTTTATCCGGTCTCCATTAAAATAGAGAACTGCTAGGGGCATCCGAATAATACATGCCGAATATGATGTGATTGCCAACAATTTATATATAAGGTTTTGTAAGATACGAGAATTAGAGCTTGAGGAGGTTTCAAGAATATTGACATAGATGAGGTTCTTTTTCTTGAATTTCACAAGACGCGATTCATGAGCAAAGAAAAAGGATTTCGACTTCATCTATGGAAAGTTCATCAAAGCGGCTGCTGATAAGAGAAACAATGGACTTATATTGCTCTAGAAGGCCTTCAAGAACAATATCAAGATATTCTTTGGAGAAGACGGAATCACCAATAGGCAATAGCAATTAGGGCATCAACCAGGGATTGAATTCGAAGAAGATAATCAGAAATTTAACTTAATGATTGTCAAGATTCGTGCTGCGAAGATCATTTCGGAGTTGACGTGCTTTGGCATTAGTGTGCGCATGAAAATATGTTTGGATCTTGTCCCAAATTTGGAAAGAGACTTGCACCCAGTGACTCGAGTGAGCATGTCCTTGGACATTGATGATTGTAACCAACAAAAAAGCAACTGATTTTGTTGTTCTCAAGCAAGATATTTTTCAGAAATACAATTAGCATCTCTGTCAGAGACCGAAAGAAATTTCTGTGGAATTTGGGGATTAACCAAGAAATGATGAAGATGGCCTTTGATGACAGGTTCAACTTGTTGACACCAAAGAAAATAATTTTTGGTATCTAATTTCTCAGAAATAGTGTGCGAGAAGGTAAGGGAAGGGGATGAGGAAGGTTTGACAGATTCAGCATGAAAATGGAGTGGTGGGTAAGGCGATGACGTTTCTTCAACCATGAGAAGAGACTAATAGTGCAGACAGAGAGAAAAGGAAGAAGGGGTGGCGGGACACAGCAACAAGGTCAGTAGGAATAAGAGAGGGACAGCAAGGATCCACAGCTCTGTAATACCATATTGAGATTAGAGAGAGAAAGAGTGAGAGGAACAGAGACAGATAATTCAAAAAATATATAATTATATAATTATGATTTTGAAGATTTGAACATTCAAATTAACGACACATTCTAATTCAAATTAATTTATAACTCTAACGTATTATAATTCAAATCAATTAAGTATTTAAATTGATAAACAAATTATAAAGTATGGCTTTATACTTTTTCAGCTATATTCTTTAAAATTGATAAACAGCATGGAAAACATATTTTAAATCCGTTCCTGCATATAAAACTCAATTACCTAATTTATCAAACTAAAAAAATTAATTTAGTTAATAACAATAAGTTTGTTCTATTTATAATTTTTTTCTAAAATTACTCTTATATTATTTTTCACTTTATACTTTAGAATCCATGTTTTATATTATCTCTCAACTAATACTCATCTGTTACTTAATCAAATAAAGTGCATATTCTAACTTACTATTAATATATTTTATCAAATTAATAAAATGCACTTTAATTAAGAATATTTTATTCTTAAAATAATTAATGTATAAAATAATATAAATTGAATTTTGTATAAAGAAACAGACAATTATTCACAGCTGGGATCTTACAAATAAATACGGAGGTTGTAATAAATTTTACGCATCTCATTTCAGTGAACGGAATTGAAAAAGGATATGGAGGACTTCCCTCAATAATGATACTTCTTCTCAATAATGTTGATAGTATACAAATGCGAACTGAGGAACAAGAGTGATGCACTAAACACGGTAATATCATATTAAGAACTAGAATGTAATATAGTATAATTCTGTTCTAAAAGTCAGGGTATCAAACTAAGAAACCTAATCTCTGGCAAAGAAGAGAAGAGATGATTGATAAGACAAGAATTACAAAAAAGAATTATTTTCTCTCATGCGATCTTCCAGATTCTAGAGAATTTCTAGGTTTAGAATCTTTATGTTTGTCTTCCCTGGAATCATGAGATGCTTTTTGCCGACGCAGCATATCCTCTGCATAGCGGCGCCATAGAGCTTCTCTTTCTTTTCTTGGAACTTTGTTATATCTTGGATCAGATTTTAAAACTCGTTTAGCTGTAGACCAAGAATTAAGCACTGTTTTTCCATCGTCGCTTTCTCGAGATGCAGCTTCGGAGGTCAATACTTCAGCTAAGAGAACTCTAAATTCGTGTGCACAACGCTGGTCAAATCACAAAGGACAAGGGTGTTAACCAAACTATAAATGCAATACTACTCACACTACGACTGAATCCCCCTCCACACATACAAGTGGCACTCACTGAAGAGCACACACGTATACCGCCCAGGCAAGAAAACTATAACATCATATCCGTCACTTACTTCCTGAAGCATCTTAACATGTTCCCGAAAGAGCTTTTCAGTGTCAGTTGGATCGAGATCAGAATTAGTTGCACGTCCTTGAGGATCCTTTTCTAATTTAGGCTTAGATTCCGTCCATGATGCCTAATAACAGGAGTACACAGATGCCATTAATTTTTCATTAATCAAGGAAAATAAGATAACAATTTTATCATTAACAGCCAACTTCCTAGCAACATAAAGCAAATTAATCTAATTGAACCTTCAAGTGTCAGAAAATCTCGGTTGGTATTCCAATCCATTTTTGATTTAACCCTCCTAATCTACTGAATGCAGTTTAGTCCTTCTATTCAAGATGATAATGATTTGCATCTAATCGAAAACCGGAAAACAAAGTTTTATAATTGTAGAGGCCTAGAGGGGCTACAAACATTCATATTCTTTCAGAATTTTTGGGGGTACTCTTGCTTAAATTGTATCCGTACTACAAAAGAGAGAGGGAGAGAAAAAGAAATCTATACCAGAGGGTCTTTGATTGTCTCCACAAGTAAAGCTTGAAAAGAAGTAACTGCCTCCTTTCTTCGAATTTTAACTCGCACCCTTTCCATTTCCTGTTCTTCTCTCTCCTTCCTTTTGCGCAGCTCCCGTTCTCTTT